GCTGCGAACGGGCCTCCGGAATGGATCGCGTTCGCAACCAGAGGTACCACTGTAAAGAATTATTAGGAAGTGCAAAGTATCTGATAATACACCACTAGTCCTAGAATGGAATGCAAGGCCTTCTTCAGAGAAGGGCAACCCTAACAGCAACATAAATAATATGTCAGCATGATGGACCAATGAAATTGGACGGCACAATGCTTCTCCCACCCTCCCCAGCACGACAGACCAAACCGCCACAATGGGAACAGCAAACTGCTAGAGAAACTATTTCTAAAGTCAGGTCAAGGCTGCGGGAGGGAAAAAACTTCAAGCTGCTAAATGGTGAGTAAATGTGACTGTAAGGAAGGACTGCAGCCCAGCAGGCAATTCCACCTCTTCTGAGCTGACTCCCTCACCTTCCTGCCTCCTCACACTCCTCCTCCTCTTCAGGCCTCATCAGCTGTAGTCCAGCTCTGTTGCCCTGTTAGCAAGATGCACAGCAAACCTACCAGCATTCAAGAATGTGCCCTTGTTGCCTTCCACAAGTCCTGCATGCCATGCACCCGTCCTGCAAACTCAGGGGTGTTTCCAGGCAGACATGAGAAACAAATCAGCATGGTTCATCAGAGCCAAGATTAATTCTGGTCGTTTTGTCTCCAAGCCTCTAAAGTATGACAGTATTCAACCATTAAAAAAAGAGAAGAAATACCCTTTTCTGTCATGATTGCTAAGCATATGAATAGGTTCAAGATTACTGGAGACTGGAAGAAGAGCTGCCCATATAAAAATGCCACCATATCTCCTTGAAGCAAGAGGAAGCGGCGTATTCCCTCATGCAGCCTCTCCCCAAGGTTGCCCAAACTAGATTTAATCTCAGTTAAAATGAATAAGCATTAAATGTTTAGATGTTAGCCTTGCACAAGGGTAGAGGGAAAAAAGTCCCCAGGGGCCTAGAATTTCTCCCACTGGAAGATGCTACAGAATGCAAACAGTATAACCCTGCTCCAAGAATTCAACCCAAGCCATCAACAGCTTTACCACTCTCCCATTCTTATTTCAGGCAAGTTTAGGTGCACATGTGAACAACTGTGCTTGCCCTCCAGTGGCCAGGGGCTCAACCTCCTGTCTGAGGCATCAACAACATGTCTGAGCTTTAGGCCTGAAGCAGCTGCCATCCTTGGAAATCCGTAACAGCCCCTCTGGAGGCCAGCATCCCACCACTGATCTATCCTGAGAAGGCTCAACAGACAGACTCTGCGCTACAGCCTAAGGAAGGGCTGTCACACTTGGCACCAACAAAGCCACTTGCTACCTAAAACTCAAGACACGGTCGGAGGTGAGGGGGGGGGACAAGCCCTGCTGGTGTGAGGATGCCTGAGGCAGTGGTAGAAGCTTCGACATCTTCAAACGGCGGAGAGCCAGGGCTGGAGAAACCTGCAAAAATTGGCTAAGCCTGCAGTCCTGGTTTTTTTAAGTCGAACATCTTCAAAGCCTGCTACTCTCACTGTAGGGCACAGCAGCTGCCAGAGCAGGTTTGATCCTCTCAGCTTTTGGCAGCTCTCAACTTGAAATTCCAGCAAAAGAAATTTTTCAAGTTGCTATTATTGCCTGTCAGATTTATAAATATTGTGCACTATGTGTTGTGGCACGGCTCTCTGGGGACGCTGGCGCATGCCAAAAGCGTAACAGAATGAAAAAAACAGTTCCTTGTCTTCAAATAAATGCTAATTTCTTTAACTGTGCTCACACGATGCTTTTGGTGAACGGCTTCAGTAGTACAGAATATATATCAGAGGGGGTGGGGGCTGATTGTCTTTTCCTGCAGTATTCAGCTGCTGATTTCATTAAGCTTGTTTAATTAGATTCCAGATGCTAATTTGCAAGTTGATACCAGAGGGTGCAGGACAGTTTGCCTTTGAATCATTTCTCTGTGATGTGATGGTCTTGAAGAACACCACTGCCCTTTAAAAGCTCTATCAAGATATTCTGACAATTAGCAAACAAAGGAGCTGCATTAATCTTGACAGAAATAATATTAATTTTCTACACATTTTAATGACCATGGCACCAAGATTTTTAAAGTTCTTTTCACTGCATGTGCATCAGCAGTTGACCAATTCAGCATTAACACATTGGGGTGGCACAGAGATTTACCAAATATTGTTCAGTCTTTTCACAGAGGAGCTGTCATCGTGCAACCTGTTATGCTACTAAACCTTCAAGGAATTTGTGCTAGAGAACACCCATCTAAAAAGGGGCACTTCATCCTGGCCAAGATAGAGCCTCCCTTCATAGTTAAAAACAGCACACACACAAACAGAATTATAGCCTTTTTGCCATCCAAACCCACATGCACTGGGTAGTCCATGCTATCTATAGTAGGCAGAGCCGGATACAATTCTCTCCCTCCCATAAAACCAGATTAGCCAATAAAACATTTGTTTTTTCCAACTAGGGAGGGGAGTGGCTGAAAGATGAAGGAGAAGGAACAGGGCAAGAGTGTAGGGGATCCTCACTCCAATTCTTCCATATAAACCCAAAAATGTGGTTATAAGCTGTTTCAAAATGGAAACTTGCTTCTTTCTTCTAGTCAGAGGACAGAGCAAGCTGCTATGTCCAAAGCATTAATATAGTAATGATGATGATCTTTGGATGAAGAGTGGTATGGAAATTAATAAACCAGTAAAATCATAAACAAACAAAAAGACTGCCAAGGCAGTACAGTCAGGTGTGAAGACCCCGGGGCAGCCCCTCTTTTGTGATGCTTCTGCACCTTGACGAGTGACACCACAGGCACACAAAGTATTGGTCTTCTACATTCTCAACACTTCCATTCCCAATCAAGAATAAAAGCTCAGAATTGCTGGGTTAGCTCTGGCCTGCTAATCTGAGCCTTGTGTACTCTGCGAGGGTGACAAAGGAGCCTGGCCTATCTAGGACAGTGTTTCCCAACCTTTTTTGGGCAAAGGCACACTTGTTTGATGAAAAAAATCATGAGGCACACCACCATTACAGCCCCGTGACGTCAGCGCGCAGCGTCACGCCGGGAGGGAAGGGCGCCGGGGCGCTGCTGCTGCCGCCGCCGCTCCCGGCAGGCATGGGCCCAGCTGAGGAGGCGGCGGCTGTTGTGGTGGTGGCGGCGATAGCGGGCGGAGGAGGGGGCGGCGGCGGGGCCGAGGTGGCCGGCGGCGGCGGGGGAGGCGGCGGCGGGTGGAGCAGGAGGGCGGCTGAGGCCGGTGAGGGAGTAGGGTTGCCCGGGGCTTGAGGAGCCGTCGCCGGGAGTTGCTGCTGCTGTTGCTGCTGCCCAGACATGCCGGCCTCCTCCTCGTCCGCTGTCTCGCGCTCCTCCCTTTTGCGCGCGCTGCCCCGCCGCCGCCCCATTGGCCGGGTCCTGTCAGCTGATCCTGTGTTATTTCCTGTGTGTGTGTGTGAGGGGAGAATGGAGAGAGAAACCTCGGCACCACCACCGCGGAGCCGCCCCCGGCTCGACGCGGATCCTCGCCGCCGCCGCCCCGCCTCTCGCCGCCCGACTCGCCCGCCTCCCTCCCACAGCACACCAGGGAACGTCTCGCGGCACACTAGTGTGCCGCGGAACACCGTTTGGGAAACACTGATCTAGGAGATGTTCACTGTGACTTAAGTAGTGATATTACCAGGATAGCAGCAGTTAAGATCCAACTCATTAACACAATCACCCATCAAGTAAAAATGTTGGGCTGAAGGTGACTGCTTTCCCAAGACAAGCTGTCAACTTCAACGGAGTGCTGAGTCACATTTTGCTCTTCTGTGAGGATAAATAGAACCTCCAACAGTGAACACCTCTGGCAAGGGACAGGTAGGGGCTCTTCCATTACTTTGCCCTGGGCTTCCTTCAAAGGACTCAGAAAGCAAAGTACATTGTTTTCAGATACTCAGAGAGGCAGCAGTAGCAGGTACCATGGCCAACCAAAATTAATGGATTCCTGTTTATGCTCAATTCAGCAGCCAATTAAAAATGCCGCTTGATTGTGTACATCACAATTGCTTAAACCAGGCTGGCCTTTAAGCAACTAGAAACATACTACAGTAGTGCCTCGCAAGACGAAATTAATTTGTTCCGCGAGTTTTTTCGCTGTGCGATTTTTTCGTCTTGCGAAGCACAGTTTCGGAAAAGTTTTGGAAAAGCTTCAAAAATCACCAAAGTCTTCAAAAAACTCAAAAAAGGCTACCACACCGCGTGCTATGAGTTGCTCCTCAAAGTCAAGTCACAACTGTATTAACGGTTTTAAGAAAAAGGAAACAAACTTGCAAGACGTTTCCGTCTTGCGAAGCAAGCCCATAGGGAAAATCATCTTGCGAAGCAACTCAAAAAACCAAAAACCCTTTCGTCTTGCGAGTTTTCCGTCTTGCGAGGCATTCGTCTTGCGAGATACCACTGTATTTCTGCTCCCATTTTTAGCCATTCTGCTGTTTCAACACACAAATATGGTACTGAGGATTTCACCCTTTACAACCTGGGAGTAGAGAACCACTAAGCCACTAACTTCAATACCCGTCTCCACTTAAAAAACCCCTCAAGGGCACAGAATGTGGCTTTGTGAAGAACATGCACAGACTAGAGACCCAATAATCACCCATACCTTCCACTTTTGCACTCATAGCTTAAAGAGTCAGGCACAAAATATCTGGAAGCACCAGCATTTGAGGAAACATCAGGTATGTGTTTAACACATCCTGCAGAATTCCTGCAATTACGTCCACAAGGCACAGGTGTCAGACTTGCACGGATTTCTCCACACACATTTTACAGTTTTGTGTCTAACTCAAGTTTTGTGCATATTTATTAGCACAGAAACAATGCTTTGGATAATCCCCACAGAAGACAACAAAGTGACTCTTCAGACGGTTGTGGCATTGCTGTAACTGAAAACCAACCATTAAAGATCATTCAAAGGACCCCATCCTACAAACCACACTATGCTACTGTCACAATTATACAAATAAACAGTGGGAGCACAGGAGGCGGAGAGAGTGTTTACCTCCATGTCAGGCTTGAATTTGTCTTCAAAAACTGCCATAGCTGCCAATGAACCCGAACCTGAAAAGAGCAAGGAGAAGTTTTCGCTTTAATTTTTTTGTTGCATCCAATACACCATTATGGTTTTCAAATGACAGAACAGAAAAGGCGACAATGAGACAAGAACTTTACAAATACTGATTTACATTCCTATACATTTGTTTTGCTACTTTAGAGCAGCACCTCTTGTTCAAGCTCAGTAACAAAGGGAGCCTTACTCTGAAGAAAGGCAAAGGGAAAAAGCAGGTTGGTAACTCGTACCAAGCTCCCAACGGAAGCTGCACCAGGGTTTACTGGGAGCATCTTCAGCTTTTATTTCTTGAACCCCAGCGACCTTCCCAAATGCTTTTGAAAATATTCTCAATATCAAAAGTGAATAGTGGTGTGGTATGGCAGAGAGGGTGGTGGGTGGTCCTGCTGTTCAAGGCAAGTAAAAAAATCCTACTGGGTATGACCAAGCCTTTAGAAGCAGCAGAAGCACCTCTCTAAATCCTGGAGTTGCTTTTTTTATTTATAGATTGTGGCAACATTTCTAGAACAGCTGAGACGTTTTCTAGAAATATATATACTGAGCCACGTTTGACCAAGCCAGAAGCTTTGAGAAGAGGCAGACTAGGGCTTTAAAATCATTTGGATCAGCTGAAAGGAACAGATTATTTCGGTGGGTTGGTTTAGCACATGCACAGAAAGATAGAGGAATCCAGGTGGCCATTCAGTCTCATCTGCCCCAGTTCAATTGTGTTTTATTTTATTGTGTTTTGGGTTGTTTCTACTTTGCACTAAAAAAACAGTAAGGCAGAGCAGACCAGAGAGGCAAACATGAATCACACACAAAGGTTTAAACACACACATTTGGCGATTCCAAGAGCCGTCCTACAAAAACACTAACAGAAGAACCCCCCTTTCCGATGTCAGCTCCAGGCATTACAGGTCCACGCAAAGAGCGGCTATGAACTATTTGGCAATCTTAAATAAGCTTTGTTCAGAAGAGAATGTGAATCTTCCCTGCATAGACATCATCATCATGTTTCAGTGCAGCCCAGACAGTATTTCAGGATGCTCTGCTTTTGGAGATTGAATAAAGTTAGCGACAATTTTTTATGCCAATTAGGAGATTTTTTGGCATTTATTACTTTTTAACTTGTTTTGCATACCACTATCTGTTTAGCTGGGTCACCCAGAAAGCCATATTTTCCATTTAAAATGATTTGTGTACATCGCTTGACCACCTCAATGGTTTAGTAAAGAAAAAGGCAGCGATTAAAGAGTTTCAAATGAGGTGTCCTGCTGATTTTATCAAGTCTGCTGAATGTATAATGAAAAGGGAGAAGCTGACAGTGACATTGCTGAGAAAATACAGACTATCTTATCTGAACCATTTAAGGAGGTCCAATTATAGATCAAATTTAAAGGGTAGAGGCAGATTTACAGACACAAATCAATGAACATGGTAATTCCAGCGAATGTGACAAAGACTCCTCCTGTTATGGAATATTGCTGTGGTTGAGGATCATTACCTTTACAGTACCAAATACATCACATTTATAAACAGCGGGGTGCACAAAGCATCTTCTCATACTCCAGGCAAGGGCTATTCGTTTCTGCCTCGGAGCCACGCACAGCTCCATTTTCAAAAAGGCAGGAATGGGAAACAAAAAGGAATTCTTTGCAAGTGACTAACAGGAGAGGAGAGCAACATGCACAAAATATGCCAGCTGCCAAAAATAGCAAACAAGAAGAACTGCGCTGAACCACAAGGAGGTCAAAGTGAAGTCCTGTAGTGCTGCTCTGGATGCAGTTTATGAGGCAAGCCTTATTGCCAAGCTCCCCACAACGGGAATAAGCAGAATCAGGTGGAACAAGAGGCAAGCAAGGTGTCTGGAAGAGCCTCGCACTGGAGTTTTAACAGGCAAGACAAGAGCTGTAATGTGGCAGAAGAAATATTTCACAACAATCTATTTTTTATTTAATTTATATCTAGGCCTTGCTTCTGAAACAGCCCATTTTGCATTCAAACGCTAGCAAAATTCCCAACATTTTGGAAGGCAAGGGATGAGTAGGACGTGAATAGAGAACATACTGTAAAGATATATACACAGACACGAAGTTACCACCAGCCCGTTACCCAACCAGGTTCTGATCCCCATCTTGGCAGCTGCAGCACTCTCATTTCTGACTTTCAAAGAAGAGCCTTAATGGATTCAGAGACTGGATATTGCCGGGGGGGGGGGCACATCCTATCTCTCACCCCAAGCACTCGGTCAGCTCACTCCCTGGAGCAGAGGAGGTGCTATGTCCAGGAACTATGTTCTCAACTAGGGGAGGCAGCCTCTTTCTGCACAGATTCACCCTGGTTTCCCATTTCTTGATCATGCTGGTGTTTGGCCAAGACACAGAGCTGGCATTTTAAACGATGGCTATCAGGGCATATAGCTTGGCAAAAACAACCCAAAAGGGTTAATGAAGTAAGAGGCACTAAACCAGAGCATTCCCAAAGCACCACAAAATACTCAAGGCAGCTTCATCAACTAGCTCATGCTCTTCAGCGCCAGAAGCCCACAGTCAACAGGCCTGCATCTGGGGACAGAGCTGCACGAAGCTCTCTGGATGCCATGCGCCCCCCCCCAACACTGAAGAGAACTGCACAACGCTGGTCACAAGGCAGTCTGCGTCTGCGAGAGCACACTCTTAAATGCCTGACGCAGCACCTGCCCCTACACCAGCCTACAACCATCTTGCAACCTGCTGTGGGCCAGGCTCTTATTGAACATGCCGCAAGAAGGAACATGCCTCTTGTCGGGGCATTTCAATTGTGGAACATTCCCACGGAATTCCATAGGCACCAACTCTGTCATCTTTCACAGTGCCAATTCAAAACTTTCCTGCTTGCTCGAGCTGCTTTGCGTGTGTCGTCCCCCTATTATATTTTGCTGCCTTGTAAAGTTGTTTAGGCTGTATTTTATACGTGGGGCATTTGTGGTTGTACGGCCACTTTTGGTCTTATTCTGCACATCATCTGGATATCTTAACTGATAAAAGGTGGTTTTAAAAATATTTTAAAATAAACTGATCAGGGCACATAAGTTTCTCAGTGCTACCTGCATTTAAATTAAAAACAGCCTAGAAATAAGTCCTACACCAATCCCAAAAGTGATTTTTTTTATTAGGCCCAGAAAGAATAACAAGAAAGGGAATATTTTCTGTGAACTGTCCTCTTTTCTGTAAACCACCCTGAGATCTCCATGTATAGGGTGATATATAAATAATAATAATAATAATATCTGAATGTTGCTGTCTTTACAGTTACATTACAGAGTCACAGCATTCCTCTTCATACATCTGATGACCTAGAGATACTTTTTGTGTTTTAAAATGACCTTGCTGTCCCATATTTAACAGATATTGGACTTGTCCATTTGCACACTGCAGCTAACAGCCTTCTGAACGTCAAACATTCAGCGAAGAGTGCTTTCTTTTACTAAATAGCCTTCTGCATCTTCCAGCATTCAAGAACCTGTTTGCTGCTGCCTCTGCCTGCCACACTGGCAAACAAATGCACTGTGAAGAGAGTAACATTTAGATTTCTCTAATCCATCAGTGTCAACAGTCCCTGACAGCGCACTTATTCACAAGCGCTCATTGTTATTCAATTTGCTGTTCCTCCTAGGTAGATATCCAGTGCTCTCCACAGACCCATCGATCGGCATCATTTTTCACTCTGGTTCCTGGCTGAGAGGCCTGGTCTCTTGGTGGCATTGCCTGTGCGGCAGACAGACATTGCCAATGCATGAAGAGCTGATTTATGAATATGAAACAATACTGGCGCCAAGAGATCAGCCTCAGCCACAAGAGACCACCAGAATGCATCTTGCTGCTTCCCAAGTCTGAAGTACAGACTTCAAGCCCTTTAATTGTATGCATGCATTTCATTATATAGCCATGGCCAGAAGCTTTTCTAGACAAGCCAGCAATCAGACAATCTTGCATCGTTTGCTGAAATCCGCATTTGTCCTTTGTCAGCATAAACACTTTAATTTGATGTTTTCACTCCTGAGTAAGCACTGAGTATGTTTTAAATTCCTTCTAAGGAACGACACTGGTCTCTTATTTAGGCACAAAATGCTGGATTTCTATTCTTTGCCTGTTTTGAGCAACAATACAGAGGCCTTACGCGCACACACATGTAAAATATTGCTTAAAACAACAAGAGAAAGGTATGAGGAAATTAGCATTCAGTTTGTAGATACATGGAGGAATCATGGAATAGCAATACTGCTGCCTTGTGTGTGCCTAACATCTGATCAAATATGAGCAGGTCTGAGTATTTACTATTCTGCTGTGATAGCTAAGTCCTTCTGGCTTAAATATGTATTCTCTGCCACCAACCTAAGTGTGGAGCTTGTCAAAATGTTGAGTTTAAAAATCATGATAATATTTTGGCACATAAGAGATCAGTCAGCCTTCACAGGAGTACTAAAAACACAAACTGTGTTCATATTGCATCACATCTGCCCATCAAAAGGATGCGCTCCTTTCTTTCCAGAAGAGGCCAAAACTGGGTTGTGTCAATGTAGAGGCACTGCAAGACATTTATGTCTGTGCCAGATATCCATCCCAAGAACAGAGCTTGAGGGCACGAATTTTGATGTCTGGTTTTATGATCATTTCAAGATTGTAATCCCCAAGCCTTAGGTATGCTGCACACTGGAGCAAGAAATTCATTCTTCAGACTCTCAGTCTGCAGTATCACATCTAAAACATGGCCCCTACATTTGGACAAATTATTTAAACAGTAGACTGAAGTTGTCCATACTGTATGATATTTACCAGACCAGAGATTTGCACAATGAAGCATTGTCAGGTATGCAATAGCCCAACCCGAAGCACGTTTACTTGGAAACAAGTGCTGTGGAGTTCATGTGGTTTGCTTTAAAACATGCTGGAATTGCAGCCTCCTTCTTCTTCTCTTTTTAAAGGAATAGCAGCATGGTAGATAAAACAGACAGATTAATACTGTCAGGCTTCATAGGCTTAGAAGCCTATTCCCATTTAATGACAGTAGTCCTTACCAGTCAGATTTCTTTCCCTGGGTTCAGTGAACCATATTCATAGGATAGCCATGCTCTACAGCTTCAAACAAAACAGAGTCAAAGGATTCCTGGTGCAAGGCAGACATGAATCCTGCAGTTTTGGGTCACTAATCATTCACTATACAAATGCAGCAAGGTAATTTATTGTTCAGCAGTTTAATAATTTATAAGTTTCAGGGCACATTTATAAATATTAATCCAATTTCATATTTTATGTTAATTCATATAAGGGTCTGAATAGAATATTACATCATAAATCCTATAATAGCATTCTTTCAAAAATAGATTTCATGCACAGAATAAATAATTTACTACTTTGTAGGGAACCATGGCACCATCTATTGGTGTAAAAAAGCTACACTCTGGTGTTCTAAGCATTTTGTACAACTCTGCTTCTCTATGCCCAGGACTCCAATTTTCCCAAACACTGGCATGAAAGAACATCAAAATAAACCATACAGATGCAGTTAATTTTTGAGGACACCTCTTCCATAATCTAACTAGGGCTACCTGTAATAGAGATGCTTCTATGGTTTTGTGTGTGTGTGTGTGTGTGTGTGTGTGTGCGCGCGCGCGCACACACACACACACACATCATTTCTTCAAGTAATTTAAGAAAAATGTTGGACCCTAGTAAACACAGAGGCGGTGTTGTTGTTTTTCTACATATAAGCAGGCAAAGCATTCGAGCAAAGTGAAATTGGGGTCAGAATGAACTGAATCTATGTGAACCAAACATCCATAGTAGCATTTGCCTATTAATTACTGCACCCATTTCAAGAGCAAAACATTAAATTAGAAGCTCTCGCACTCTCCACTGACAAGTGCTACACATCTGTATTTTCAGTCCGCTAACATTATTTTTGCTGCTGACAACCCCTATATAAGCTACAGGGCTGCTTTAAGAAATTTGAAATCATCCTTTCAGTGTAATTTCTCTAGAGGTTCTGATGGCATTTCACAAACTTTGTGTGTGTTTGCTTTAATGTTCTGATGAAGAACCACTGCCTTGGGATTTGATTTAGCAAAACATTTGCCATTCAGCACTGAAGCTACACTCTGGGAGTCTCTGGCAAATTTGCACAAGCTGTATTTCCCATCTCCCCACACAGCCATTTACAATTTGCCAATGATTTAAAGTATTATTATTAGGCATCAAGAGATAGGATCACACGAAGTATGAGATCCCTGTTTTACTTTCACTTTCTACAACGCTAACGACATTTCAGAATCACACACACACAAGTAAAGATGAGGAAAGAAAAACTAATTACGACAGATTTCCACTAGTGGGCAGTGCAGTTACCTAAATTGTAACAGGGAAAGACTCACCCATTGTGACATAAGGCAATTTGTCAGTAGATCCATGAGGATAGATGCTGTAAAGATGGGCTCCAGTGACATCCACCCCACCCAGAACCAGGGCTGCGCCAATGTAACCTTGATACCTGGAAGACATGAATGTGTTTAGCATAAGAGTGTGTGAACACCAGAAATGCAATCCAAACAGTGTTAGAAACCGGGATATAAAAGCTAGGAGCCTAATGACACCTTAAACCTGCATTCCAGGCACTACAAGAATGCCTAGGTGCCTTTTCATTGGGGGAAAAAGATTGTGTGCCTGCGTGAGCCAGGGGATCTGCAAGCAGTGCAGCACCAAAGGAGCACAACCACAGCCAACAGGGGCAGGGGCAGTGCAAGCCATGCAGTTCTGTGCAGAGTTTTCTCTCTCTCCCCTCACCCTTCCTAGCAGAAACTATTTAAACCCATAAAAGGTATCGGGAAAACAAGGGTGTTGCTTAAGAGTGATGAAAAGTCAAGACCCCTCTTGTGAAACAGATGGGCTTCCCAGGGAGTAAAAAGTAGCTGCCCCAAAACCTGCACCCCCCCACCCGCCCAGCTTATGCTGCACAAACAGAAGTTGAGCAAAGAGGAAACATGGTGGCCACACACCCGGCAGCCTTCACCACTGGTTTGATTCACAGGACTTGAAGCTTTTCCAAAGAGAGAGGGGTGAGGAGGAAGTGTTGCCTGTCTGCCCACCTGTCAGCTGTGCATTGCCCAAAGTCTCTGGCTTGCAGGACAGAGAGTCCCAGCCAGAGAGACGTAGACACATGGAGTTGGCGGGTGGAGGCAGGCTCACAGAGCAGCATCTCTCTGGCCTTGCAGATTCAGCAGGCAGGAAGCAGCCCTTTACTCTGCAGTATAAAAGGCTTTACTTTGCAGTAAAGGGCTGCTTCCTGCCTGCCCGTTCTGCTAGGCCAGCGGATAGGCGGCATCCCTCACACAAGCCAGCCACCCATCCCCAGCAAGCAGCCACCCACACAGCAAAGGGGCACATGCTCGGCCTCTCCCTCCCTCTCTGCTGCAGTTTTTCTCCCCCCCCCCTCGGTAGTATGTGCCAGTGGCTCCAGCCAGCCTGCTCTGGAGGTGAGCAGGGTGAAAGCTTTGGGCAGGAAGGGCATGGAAGCAAAGGGCAGGAGGAAGTGAGGCTGGACAGCTGGGGTGAGGGGGTAGTCCTCCCGACTCCCTCCCTCCACACAGGGCACCAAGATGCCACACAAAGCCTACATGCAACTGTGGTGTAGAGGAAGGGGCCATGCAATGAGGCACACTGCAGCTTCTGGTTTGTTCTCTCTCTTCTTTTTGCAGTGAGGGGTCCTTTCCAGTTCATCCCCTCCCCTAACAGCCTTGGAAGAGACTCTGCCCTGGAGATCTCGTATCTGCATAATCCTGCCTCCCTCCCACCAGTCCGTCCACCCACCCTCCTCTCTCCCACCATGTGATGGGGGCCATGCTCTCTTTCCCATGGTCAGCAGCTCGTTGCTGGCAAGTCCAAGCCTTTGTGTAGAAGTGTGCAGTGGCCCGGCAGCCACAGCTAGATGGGAGGTATTTAAACACTTGCATTTCGGGGTGGTAACAAAAACAGCAGTGAGAAAGAACCACAAGTAAGGCTGCTTTGGGCCCCAGGGGGAAATTCCTTTAGCTCATCGAAAAGTTCCCTGGGGCGCAAGCGGAAAGGGAACCCCGCTTCAGATGCTGCCCTTGGCTCTCCTGCACAGCCAGAGATCGTGGTCACAAATACATAGCTGGAAATCTCATTTTGGTTGCTAGGTGGCGCTACTGAGTCGAAAAAGAGATGGGAGACTGGTTAATTTTGAATGCTGATGACAAACACAAAAATTTCCATTTTTAAATGCTGCCCCTGAAGGCCTCTGCTTGCAAAATTGTTTAAACACACACATATTTTAGAACATGCCACTCGACTGCTGAACTTTCCCAACTACATGTGTCTGTACACTGCTTAACCGAATGAAGGGAGAAAGGGGAGGAGGCAAAGAGTGGCAACAGCACTGCTCAGTCCACAAGCCAGTTACCTGAAGAGCATCTGCTTGAGCATCCGGTTGGCTGTGACCACCCTTGGAAGCCGTCCAGTTGAGAGCGAGTGGAGTTCCATGTTAGAAGAGATCAACTGAGTTGTCATTTCTGTGTCTGCAGCCGTTCCAGCACCGCAACAACTGCAAACGTATTTACTTCATTTTAGTAAACAAGCAGCTTCCGAATAATTATCTAGAAGCCATGGCCACACTTGGTTGGCAGCCGCCCCACAAACCCCCGTGAACACATTTGCCACTCTATAGGAATCAAGAGCTAACTAGACAGTCTTAGTCCATTAAAGCAGCTGGTCATTTTCAGGAGAGGACAGAGAAATCCCTTTGTGAAACATCAACAATTAAATACCCATGTTTTTTCTTCCTACTTTTCACTGGTTCCCTCCATTAGAAACAAATACTTTGCAACTTTCCACTTCCAGAAAATCTGTGGTCATGAGCAGGCCTAGAAAAAGGTATACTTACTAAATGTTTGGAGATATATAGTGTATTTTTGAACAGTTCTTGTCAGCAACAACCATCCCTTCAGTGGCTCTTGTATCTGCTCCAAGTACTACCCCATCCTAGAGAAAGAAAGGGAGATGGCAATCCTATATCCAATCCTATTTCCTGGAAGCAAGTGTCACTAAGCTTAGTGGGACTTACTTCTGAGTAGACATGCATAGGACGAACACTGAAAGAGCTGATTTTACTGCAACAAGCATTGGGGCCTCACCTTAAACACTACCCCAGCAATGGTGGTGCCAGTCTTGCGGGCCGTGGGAAGACGCAGGCCCTTCTTGGTCCCCTCCGCCTCAAGGTGAGAATTCCTACAACAGGAGGTAATCATGAAAACGAGGCACTGGTGCTAAAAATTAAAAAGACTTCTCCATAAATAGTGTAAGGAGATCCTGGCAACGCTAATTGCCAGAGGATGAGAAAGAAGTGAATGCAGCAAAAGGAACCAATGCAGGCACCAAGCCCACCAACACCCCACTCCTCCAGATTTAATGAAAGAAAGAAAGCACTGTCAGGAAGGTAACAACCTACCCCCATCGCTCCCTGAATCTGCCCCCCTGACTAGTTCATTATAGGACACACACCCCGGACACTGGTCGTGCATTTAAAATTTTTATTCTTAGAAATTAAAGAGTATAAGCAGGTCCTGCTAGAATGAAATCAACCCTTACTTACCTTCTAAGTAAGCCTGCGCAAGGGCTGGACTACCTGTTTGCTACGACACTGGATCGCTTTTGCGTGCTCCACCCACCCTATTGGGGAGCAGGCAAGTGTGTTTTCCCTTGGATTATCAGCACCAAGCTCTAAGCCAGCCTTTCTCAACCTGTGGGTCCCCAGATGTTGTTGAACTACAACTCCCATCACCCCTAGCTAGCGAGGCCAGAGCTCAGGGATGATGGGAGTTGTAGTCCAACAACATCTGGGGACCCACAGGTGGGAGAGCCGCTGCATGAGCCGCCCAGCATGATAAAAAGGTAGATTTGACATCTTTCTGCAGGGCCTGCAAGACGGAGCTGCTCCGCCTGGCCTTTGGTCGGGGTTCAGTCTGACTCCCCATCCCCTTTCATAAGAACTTGCATGAAAGTGGCCTCCCAATAAACAGTTGGGCCTGGTCAGCATTTAAGGTCCCCAATCCTAACCTGCGGGTTGCCATTTGATTGGATTTTATGCTGATCTGGATCTGAGTTTAGGATGTATTTTAACTGATTGTCTGGTTTTATGTTAATGTGTCATACATTTGATGTTAGCCGCTCTCGGCCCAGTTTTGGCTGGGGAGGGCAGGATATTAATAATAATAATAGTAATAATAGTAATAATTCCCTTCTCCCCGCCCCCAGCAAAGAACCTGAGCGCTATTTCCACCCTCCGTCAGCTGCCTAGTTACTGAGGAGGAAAGAAATCCACGCGTGGATAAGAAACCGGCAGGCTTAAGCTTTCCAAGAGGTTGAGAGTGACGAAGCGACAGCCCTTCCTTCCTCTCTGTGAGATCAAGGGGGAGAGGCAAGGCCCCCCCCCCGCCGCTGCCTGTCCCCTCACCCCATGGGCGGCCTTGGGGGTCTCGCTCAGCCACTTCCGAGGGGGGCTCCTCCCCCCCTCCCGCCCCCGGGAAGACCGCAGCACCCGCGGACCCCAAGGCGGCTTGAGCGCTCAGGCGAATCCCAAGGCCGTGAAGGAAACTCCGCGGGGAAACAGCAGCAGCGCCGACGCGCGCGCGCGCTACTTATTACCATTGTTGTTGTTGTTGTTTCTTCAGAGGAGCCCCTTCCCTCCCTCCCCCCCCCTTCCGCGCCAGGGCCTCGCTAGGCCTCGGAGCCTCCTGAGTCACCGCCCGCCCGCCCGGCTCCCCTCCGGCGCCCGCGACGCCGCCCCCGCCCTCCCCCCTCCGCCCCCCCGTCCTGCCGCCTCCCCGCCCCCCCCCGGGGCCGCCACTGACCTGGCGCAGTTGTGGAAGCTGAATCCTCCGGCAGCGCCGGCCGGCGAGGCCTGCAAGACGGAGAGCGACGCCATCTTGCTCGGGATGGATCGGTTTCCCCTCAGGCGGCGGCGGAAGCGGAAGCGGCCTCGCAGGGAGGGAGGGGGAGGCGGGGCTTCCGCGGCTGCGTCACGCGCGGGGCCCCGCCCCTTTCCCGCCAAAACCTGAGGGAGACGGTTCCCCTCAGCGCTGAGGGAAAGGGGAATGAAAGTCCTCGTTCCTTCGTCACGTTTAAACCACACACCCCACCAAAATAAAAAGGTCTCCCTCCCTCCCTCTCTCATTTGAAACCCCGCGCGGGGCCTTCGATGGTCCTTCATTCCGTTTTGTTTTCATTGATTGGTTAAAGGGGAGCCAAGGTTTCCCTTTTTAAAAAAAATTATTAACAATTTCAACATAACAAAATATCAAAACATGCCGTATTCATTATTTGCAGCGTGTTGCCTCGAGCGCAGGGCCTTGCAGAGCCAGGCAGAGGCCCGGGCCTGGTAGATAATGTGCCCCCCCCCCTTTTTTTTTTACTCTGGGGATAACAGAAGTCTTGTGAATAAGTAAGCATATAAATAATTTTCACAAAAGTTACGCTGACAAATAATTTTATTTCAAGGCTTGAACCGTATCTGCATATAAAGACAAAACGGAAAATATATACAATAGTGCTTTTTTAAAAATACAGAGGGGAAAGGATTAAGTATTTCCATTTAAAAATGCTTTCCTAGCTTTCTTTTCTGCGAATTCTGGAATTGTGCAGGAAAAATCAAGCAACTTCGCCTTATCATGGTTTATGTTTATGTTTATCCTTGCTAAACCATTTAGGGGTTCTTGAGCCATTGTTGATCGAAAGAAAGACTGCCAGCCATGGCCCCAAGGAATCCGCCCTCCTCCACCACCGCCTTTGCGCCTCCGCCTTCGCCCCAGTGCACCCCCTGCGATTGTGAATATGCTGACTGAGGCCCCCTTTGGAATCAGGCCCAGGCCAAGGGGCCCATATGGTCCCCCCCCCCTGTCTGGGCCTGCTCAAGCGCGGGGATCTTTGAGGTCGAGTGGACCAGGGAGAGTCACGTTTGTTATGTGCAAAGCCTGGGATGCATGCACACACCATGCAGACGAGGAGGTGGTGTGTTGCGGAGCCAGCAGAGAGAGCTCCGGACTGCGGGAAAGAATCTGGAGCCTCCCGCCTCCAACGAGTGTTGGAGGCGTGCAGGCACCAAGCCCCCGCTCCGCCTCGCTTACCCTCCCCAGGCCCTCCACCGCTTGGCGCCCTGGCTCGCCACACCACTGCGCCCGATGGTAAAGACGTCCCTGCCCCTTGGGGTCTTTGGCGGGGAAGGTCCCTCTCCCACCTCCCTCACACTGCAAACCACCCTGTGACACTCAAAGGAAGGGTGGCGTCAAAATTTCATGAATAGTACATAATGAGGTGGCTGGGTTTCCCACCCAGCAACTTCATTATTCATTTTTTGTTGTAAAGGTAAAAGGACCCCTGACCGTTAGGTTCAGTTGCAAACATGCTCATCTCGCTTTACTGGCCGAAGGAGCCAGCGTACAGCTTCCAGGTCATGTGGCCAGCATGACTAAGCCGCTTCTGGCGAACCAGAGCAGCGCACGGAAACGCCGTTTACCTTCCCGCCAGAGCAGTACCTATTTATCTACTTGCACTTGACGTGCTTTTGAACTGCTAGGTTGGCAGGAGCAGGGACTGAGTAACGGGAGCTCACCCTGTCGCGGGGATTTGAACTGCCAACCTTCTGATTGGCAAGTCCTAGGCTCTGTGCTTTAACCCACAGCGCCACCCGCATCTCTCAACAGATGGTCTCGCCTTCCTTCAATGGTACCACAACTGAGGGTGCTGGGGAGCAAACCTAGAACAGCATTGATTCTTGAAAGGAAAGGAAATACACCCAAGTTCCAATACAATAGCAATTATCAGAGTTACAGATACCACTCTGGTTTACATAATAAATGCAGGACTGGTTAATATAGGGTGCAGAGGCCTCCGTCCCGGGCCAAGGGGGGGGGGTCTAATGCCATTTCCCCAGTGAGTTAATTTCAGTCTGCAATCCAATTATAGCTGCTTTTGGCTGGGAAATGTGGATGTAATTTGGGGACAAGATAATGGGACTCTTGTGGAGTTGAGCTCAGTTAGGCTTAGCAGGAGTGCTATGTAAGGAAGTCCTTAAGCAGTGTGTGTCACTGCGTGTTGTCCCACCCAGCAATTGGTGACATTGATCTCCCTTAATACTTTCTGGGTGTATATAACAGGGACATGTTTTCATCCTTTCTTAAACTCACCAACCCCACCATTGGCTGCTACTGCCCGTAGGCAGGGTGGCCATCCTTTCGCTATGGAGTCCAATTGCTTTAACAGGTAGTGTCAGGAACTGGCGGGCAGCCGTCTTAGGTAATCAGCAAGCAGTGGTTGTATTTTCAAGAAGATTTATTCTTCATCTCACTCAAGAGGCCGAGGGCCAGCGCTGTCCGCAGACACTTCCGGGTCACGTGGCCAGCGTGACAAGCTGCATCTGGCGAGCCAGAGCCGCACACGGAAAGGCCGTTTACCTTCCCGCCAGATTGGTCCCTATTTATCTACTTGCACCCAGGGGTGCTTTCAAACTGCTAGGTTGGCAGGCGCTGGGACCGAACAATGGGAGCTCACCCCGCCGCGGGGATTCGAACCACCGACCTTTCGATCGGCAAGTCCTAGGCGCTGAGGCTTTTACCCACAGCGCCACCCGCGTCCCTTCCATTGCCTTCTACTCGTTGAGAAAAAGACAAGTCTCTTTCTTCCTCTTCGGACTGACTCCCCCCCCCCCGCCCTGCTCGTCTTGACTGTGGGAAGTCATGTCCATTACAGGTCATTGCCAGCTTCCGAGGGTCTGGGTCAATACTCCTTAGACTACCCCCTCCCCGTCTTTTCACGCAATGGCCCATCCTAGTTACACTCCTTGCACACGTGGTTTGTGTCGTTTTGTTATTCCTTCTGTCTCTTCCCGTCTGTGCTCATTTCTTTGCCTGCGCCGTTGCTATAATTGAAGCCTGTTCAGCTGCACACATTCTCAGGAGCTACACAAGTGCAAAAGGTTTTTGCCACGATCAGCCCTAGAGACTTTTAACTTTGGCACATTTGCAATTGCTCATCCGGTGCACCATCTGCTGAATTTCAGGTGCTGTTGGTGGTCCAGAAGGGAGAAGCTGGATTCTTTAACCCAACTGGAATACAGGCAGAGAAAAAGATCCTCCAGAGATTTTGGGAAAGGGGCAACTCGTGATGAAGACAGTTGAGAATGATGTACTTTGCCAACTGTTTAATAGGTACAGGTCTTTATTTTTATTTTTTATCCCCCCCCCTTGCTCTGAGGAAAGTGACAAATTGTTGCAGGTAAAGGCAGTCTTAAATGGGATCCAAGATTCTGACATAGATTGAATTAAGATTGCCAGAAGAAATATCAACAACCTCAAATATGCAGATGACAAAACTTTGATGGCAGAAAGTGAGGAGGAATTAAAGAACCTCTTAATGAGCTAAAAAAGGAGAGTGCAAAATATGGTCTGAAACTCAACATCAAAAAAACGAAGATCATGGCCACTGGTGCAATCACCTCCTGGCAAATAGAAGGGGAAGAAATGGAGGCAGTGAGAGATTTTACTTTCTTGGGCTTCATGATCACTGCAGATGGTGACAGCAGTCACGGAATTAAAAGACGCCTGCTTCTTGGGAGAAAAGCAATGACAAACCTAGACAGCATCTTAAAAAGTAGAGACATCACCTTGCCAACAAAGGTCCGTATAGTTAAAGCTATGGTTTTCCAAGTAGTGATGTACGGAAGTGAGAGCAGGACCATAAAGAAGGCTGATCGCCGAAGAATTGACGCTTTTGAATTGTGGTGCTGGAGGAGACTCTTGAGAGTCCCATGGACTGCAAGAAGATCAAACCTATCCAGGAAATCAGCCCTGAGTGCTCACTGGAAGGACAGATCCTGAAGCTGAGGCTCCAAGACTTTGGCCACCTCATGAGAAGAGAAGACTCCCTGGAGAAGACCCTGATGTTGGGAAAGATGGAGGGCACAAGGAGAAGGGGACGACAGAGGAAGGGATGGTGGGACAGTGTTCTCGAAGCTACCAGCATGAGTCTGACCAAACTGCAGGAGGCAGTGGAAGACAGGAGTGCCTGGTGTGCTCTGGTCCGTGGGGTCACGGAGAGTCGGACACGACTAAATGACTAAACGACCAAAAAAAAAAAGAAAAAGCTTTGCACCTGGAAGGTCCCAGGTTCAGTCCCTGGCATACACAGGTAAGACTGGGAGAGACCCCAGTCAGAAATTCTGGAGGTGTTGCCATCAGTATGTAGGCAACACTGCGTGAGATGCACTGAGCTTCCTACGTTCCTGCGGAGCACAAGAGGGGGAACCTTTAGCCGAAAGGAAAATAAATTACAAAAAAATTTCTAGGAGTAGCATCTGAAGATCAGGCACAGCCTTAGACTTTTTGCAATGTGGTTTTAATAAATCTTTTAAAATTAAAGATTGCAGCACTGCAGTTATTAGTTGTTGGAAAACATGCGTCCTATATCTTTCCATTCCTTCTTTTCTAGTTATTACACCTTTAATCAGGTTTATATTTGGACTTATTTTTAAATGTTTGTTTTGCTTTTATACATGGAATTGATTTATATGTGGAACTGCTTTTACACTTTTCTTGTTTTATGGTGGTAATTGTTTTATAATGTTATGTCTTATTGTCCCCCCCCCACCCCAGATTTTTATTTTAGTAAACACAATCCATTAAAACAACAAATCACCGAACAACCATTAATAATAGAAGCAATCAGATCTATCTTTCAAATGCCCTCTAATAAGATGCCTGTGGTGATCACACAGGGTCCCCGGACATTTAACGGTCTATTGATCCCTGTGCCCGCTGCCACCAACCCGTTACTCTCTGGTAAAACACTGAGTCCAGACAGTTGTTAAAAGTGAACCAAAAAAACCAAGTTTATTTTACAAACATTAACAAGTTTATGGTTTCTCAGATAATATTCCTGTCAGTATCTTAACTTTAGTTTCTTTACCGGCCTATACCTTCCTAATACT